TTACTTACTAGTGATTGGCCTGTTTGGTTTTCTACATTTTCATGATTCATTCTGGGAAGGTTGTATACTTCTGAGAATTTGTCCCATTCTTCTGAGTTATCAAATTTGATGGCATATAACCTTTCATAACATTCTTTTATAAACATTTGTATTTCTGTGGTGTTGCTTTTAACTTCCCCTTTTTCATTTCTGATTTTATTTAAGTTTTTTCTTGTTTCTTCTTAGTGAGTCTAGCCAGAGGTTTGTCATGTTTTTGTATATTTTTTCAAAAAAACATCTCTTTGTTTTGTTAATTATTTCTATAGTCATTTTTTTCTCAATTTAATTTATTTCCGCTCTTACTTTTATTTTTTCTTCTACTGATATGGGACTTCATTTGTTCTTCTTTTTCTAGTTCTTTAATGTATAATGTTAGATTGTCTATTTGAAATTCTCTTGTTTGTTGAGGTAGACCTGTAATGTTATAAACTTCCCTTTTACTACAGCTTTTGCTGTATCCCTAAAATTTTGGTATGTCGTATTTTTATTTCTATTTGTCTCTATGTTTCTTTTGATCTCTTTTATTTCTTATTTGACCCAATTGTTGTTCAATACCATGCTGTTTAATCTCTGCATATTTGTTGTTTTTCCAGCTTTCTCTTTGTTGTTAATTTCCAGTTTCATATTGTTATGATCAGAAAATATGTTTAGTATGATTTCAGTATTCTTAAATTTATTAAGACTAATTTAGTGCCTCAATATATGGTACATCCTTGAGAATATTCCATGTGCTCTTGAGAAGATTATGTATTCTGTCATTTTTGGAATGGACAGTTCTATAAATATCAATTAAGTCCATGGGTTCTAATGTGTTACTCAAGGCTGATTTCCTCCTGTTGACTTTCTGTCCAGATGATCTATTCATTGCTGTGTAAGTGGAGCATTCAGGCCCCCTCTTATAATTGTATTTTTGTCAGCTTCTCTCTTTAGTTCTGTTAGGAATTGTTTTATATATATTGGTGTTTCCAGGCTGGGCGCTTACATATTAATGAGCATAATGTATTCTTCATGAATTTCCCCTTTATCATTATTAAATGTCCATTTCATGTCTTATTACCTTTTTTACTTTGAAATCTATTTTGTCTGATAGAAGTACTGCTACACTCACTTTTCTCTGGATGCTGTGTTTGGAGTATCATCTTCCACTCCTACACTTTGAGCCTATGTTTGTCTTTGGAACTGAGGTGAATCTCTTGTAGTCAACACATAGTTGGGTCTTATTTTTTAATCTGTTACCCTGTTCCTTTTGAATTTTTATTTCAGTCCATTTACAGTTAGGATGATTATTGATACATGAGCACTTACTACAGCCATTTTATCTTTGTTTTCTGGTTGCTCTCTATCTCATTGTTTCTTTTTCCTTGTGATTCTGTCTGTTATTTTAGTTTGGCAATTTGTTATGATTATTTAAAATTTCCTCATGCTTTATGTTTTGTGTCTCAGCTCTGAATTTGTTTATTTTTGGTATCATTAGGTTGTGTAAATGGCTCATATATACAATAGTCCCATTTCTTCTGATTTCTTCTTATCTTCATTTACCTGTACACATTCAATCCATTTTCTCTTCCTATTTTATGACTTTGTTTTCACAAAGTATCTCTTTTTGTTGTGCATTCATTGCCAGATTGCAAGTTATAGTTATTTTTAATGCACTTTTCCCTCTTTAACCATTATATTGCAATTAAGTGCTTAATATCTTATATGAAGTAGAGTTGTAATTTCCTGATTCTGTCTAACTGTTAGTCGCCTTACTCAAAGTTTGTTATACTTTTGTTTATTTGTTTCTGGTTCAGAAGCTTCTTTTAACATTTCTTATAATGCAGGTCTTGTAGTGGTAAATTCTCTGGTATTTTTGGAAAAGTGTTTATTTATCCTTCTATTCGAAGAATAACTTTGCTGTATAGATTTTACTTGGCTGATGCTTCCTCTCTTTCAATACTTTTAATATTTCCTTCCATTCTCTCATGGCTTACACTGTTTCTACTGAATAATTTCATAATAAGCTAATGGAGTTTCCTTTGTATATTACAATTGTTTCCCTAGTTGCCTTGAACAGTCTTTGTCATTAGTTTATGCCACTCTGAACAAAATATGTCTTGAAAATGTCTTTTTGTGTTGATATAATTAGGTGTTAGCTTTCCTATTCTTTATTTTTTTTAATTTAATTTTTAATTTTCACTCCAAGATATTTTTCCAATTGTTTTTTTAAAA